ATATACATACATATATATATATATACACACACATTAAAGATGTTCATTACATCTTTTGAATAGTAACTATAAATAAGTAAAAAGTACAATATTTTAAAAGTATAAAGCAATGGATGTACTTAAGTAAAGTACAATTGTACTCAAAGTTATATCTAAATACAAAACTTGAAGAAATGTGCTACACTATTGTGGAATAAGGTTTCATATTTATTAATAACCAAAAGCAATTTATAGTTTAAAAAAAACCTCAGTTAAATGTCTGATATTAAATGTTGGGTTTGTAGAACGTGAACTAGTTACAAGTCTGTTGTATATTTGTACGGCTCTTCTATGTTTTCTACTTGCGATTTGAAGAAAGTCCGGTCATATTAACTCAAACAACACACTCCGAGAAGTTTCATTTTTATTTGACGGAAGTTAAATTAACCACAAAGAGTTGCAGAGAGTGGTGGAATCTTTAACAAAAGTGATATTTCCTGTCATTCATTTAAAAAAAGGACAAATATTTACTGAGTGGGTTTGAGGGTTGGATCACAGCAGGGAGGAAACACAGGGGAGAGAAAACAGAGAAGACTAAAAGGGTGCGAAGTCTCCGCTTCACTTCTGTCAACTTTATCTACCTTAGCAGCAGCCCAGATTTACAGACTATTTATATTGCACCAGGTAAGTGCTCTGAATGGGAAAAAAAAGAATCACATTCAAGTTAATGACAAAAGACATACAATAGGCGACATGACCTCAGAGTGATCTATAAAGTGCCCTTTGGGTTCAATGGTGTTAGAAAAAGGATAGTGAAACAAAGAAAAAGAAAATGTCTTTGTAAGAAACGTGCTGCTTTATATTCAGTGGCAATCACAGCTTTTCTCTCAAACACCCGCGCACGCACACAGCTTCATTTTAGTGTTGTTGATCAGTAATACTTAAATTCATACATATATTTATATATAATGGAAAAAAAACAACTTAAAATGTGTTCCCCCAACCCCAGAACAATTTACAGCATTATTAACAGCAACAGGCATGAGAATATTAATATAATCATGACGCAAACGTGTCAGAGAAACTGACCCCAAAGGTTTAGTTCGCCGTTCTCGACCTCGAGACCCATTTACACGTCCAAATTACTACGATGTAGTCAAAGCAAACACACGATACGGTTTCATGCTGCTTTCATAGCGCTACAATATAAAACATTTGATTCACCACATTTGCTATCACCGTAACAAATGATATGGATTAATTAATTCCCCGACTAGCCAGAGTTACACTTCACACACCATGTCATGTCGCATTGTCAAAATAGTAAACAACAGTACAAATACGTTGAGAGTATTTTCCTGCAAGAATTATACCAATGATTTTTAAAAAAAAAATAAAATAAACAAATCTTTCATAATGACAAAAACTATTTAAAAAAAAAAATCATCATTGGGGATTATTTAACACCCCCATTCTTGAATCTTTACCAGTGGCTAATAAACAGAAAACAATATTCTACAAAAAGGCTGCAGCGGCGATTTCTGATCAAACAACATAATAGACAAAGGCTCTATGAAGGGGGTGTGGCCGATTTCCTGAAATGTGATTGGCTAGCATTCCTAAGGTAATCTGGTGTTGGTCTAAGGATTTGAGAGAGTTGTGATCATAGTGCCATCGCAGTTTCTTAGAGAAATAGTGCACGTAGGAGCCAGATTAAGGCCATGCTAAGTCCCCTCCATTGAAGGGTGCTTGAATACGGTGCTATAGTGTACATAAAGGAGCTATTGAAATGCATTAGTGTTTTCCAGCACTGTAGATTTTCACAGGACGAGGGTAGAGGGGAAAAGAAACGGCGGATAAGGGGCCAGCTCATTCATCGCTCATGCCTGTGGATAATAGATTTCAGCATTCAACAGTGCGACTCTCACGTTCTTTCCCCAGCACCTTTAAAGGAGTGACCCACCCACTGAAAAGATTTAAAGACGTAGGTGCATCGGCTCGACAAATCGCTGTACAGACTCAAGTCACCGGTGCTGTGGAAGGGGCTCACAGTCGGCCATTACAGTACAACATGCTTGCACAGAACTGCTACAGCAGCTGGTTCGATATCCCTGTGGCTTTTTGTTTTGTTTTGTTTTTGTTTTTGTTGTTGGTTGGTTGCTTGGTTGGATGCAGTCAGGTGCTGCCGTCTTAGTCGACCCCCTCGAAGCCCTGCGCGTTCTCCACAGCCATGAGGAGCTTCTCTCTCAGGTCCTCAAAGGAATCATAAGTGGGCAGATCCAAGCGGTTGAAACTGGGGAGAAAGACGTTTGACGAATTACAAAAAACTCAACATGGTATCAGGCTCCAAAATGCAAAAATAAAATGCCAAAGTACTAGCTGCTAACACGCTGGCTGCATAGCTCCATGGACAGCAATGTCGGTCGATTGATCAAACTTTGGTCCAGACTAAAATATCTCAACCACAACTTACTTTATCGGCACAAAATTTGGTAAAAACATTCATGTTCTTAATGACTTGTATGATCCCCTGACTCCTGCTATAGCGCCCACAATTTGTTTTATTGAGCCAATACTTTGTTCATGACAAAACAAACATAAGATATATTTTGTGTTTATTGCTAATTAGCAAATGGTAGCATGCTAGCATACTGAACTAAGACGCATGGTCAACTTTAATCCTCGCATCAGCATGTTAGCATTGTCACTGTGAGCATGTTAGCATTCCGACATTAGCATTAAACTCAACGAGCTGCTCTGACTAAGTGCAGCCTGAAAGCCGCCAGCTGCAGACTGTGTGTGTGTGTGTGTGTGTGTGTGTGTGTGTGTGTGTGTGGTAACATACCACGTGTGAGCTCTTGGCAACTTTTCTGGCGTTCCCCACTGCTCTATTGTGAACAGCTGAGGTCCATTAGAACCTGGCACAAAACAAAACAAAAAAGATAATTGAGACACAGTTGAGATAAAGTATAGAAATTATTTTATTAGACAAATTGAAACTCAATGACTTCAACTTCAATGATTGCCAGAGAAAGAGGAGGAAGGAGATAATTCTATGTAAATAATTGTGTGAACTGTTCTATGGTCAATGGAATGCACATGTGGGACATTTTAGCATATCTTGGTCATTCCTCATCTGTTTTATACACATTTATCTTTCTGTATGTGGACTGCGATAGTAATTCAATTCCTGGAACTGCCATTGTTGACTTGTGTCTCTGTTACAGAGAGTTCAGGCCCTGCAGTTTAAACGGATACTATTTGATTTGAAAGAACTGGTATTTATTATACAAGCAGGAAATAAAAGGAAACGAGGTTATCTGGCGAGGTAACGTACCATAAAGCTCGGCAAAGCCGTTCATGGGCACTCGTGATGTTCCCGTAACAAACTGCAGGAGTCGGATCCTTTTTTCAGCATCCATCAACAGGACGACCTGATGACAGATAAAACCTCTCTGTGACAAATAGTTCATTCATCAATTCATTTAGCAAATATCAGTCACTATATGAAACTCTCTCATTTCTACAACACAGAAAAAGACGATGAAATTATTCAAAGAAGCAACGCTTTTGTTGACGGTTAAAATCAAAGAAAAGAAAGAAAACCCGCCTAAATTCAAACAGAAGCAGTTTGAGCCAGTTCACTTAATCAAATGACATGACACTGTTGTCTGTGTGCATAAGCATGCACACACACACACACACACACACAAATTATGGCCTGTGTGTGCTGTTTGCTGTCCGAGTGTGTTAAAGCTCAAGTCAAGACAGATGATAACCAGGGCAGGCACTACTTCAGGCTCTTTCATCAGTGCAAACAAGCCTGTTCTTCCAAACAGACTTTGATCTTCAAAAGCGAGGCCAGCAAACCTGTCACAGGCTGGACGGCGGGAAAGATGACTGGAACCAACTTTTATTATGAAATATGCAGTTTCCATGACTGATATGATAAAAATGTATCTAGATAGTTTAACACAACACTGTCTGTGTGTGGGTGTATCACAGGCGTACCTTCCAGAACCACTGTATGACAGGATGGTTGGGACAGTAGCCGTTCTTGTAAACCGTGTGTTGCCTCCAGTCGTTGACGTCGACGTCACCGAGACCACACATGAGCAGCTAGGGAGAAAGAAAGTATTAACAACCATTTAAAAAGTGTGATGATGTAGAGAGATGTGATAGTCTTAGGAGAAAAGTGATTAAATAATGAATCCATACTGTACCTCCAGTTCGTTTTCATCAAAGATCTTGATCAGATCTATGAGAATGAGCTCAGTGAAGCCCTGAAAATGGAACAGAAAGAGAATTAAAACCTCACACTATAACAGCCATTTTATCACGTTTTGAAAGAAACAAATAGTCAAGGAAGAGGTTTAGACACAGAGGGCTCAGGCGAGCTAACCCACTGTCTGTGCTCACACTGCCCCCATGTGGTGACTTTATTATTGCACATAAATACCTCCAAGAAGGCGTTCATCTGCTTCTGGACTCGATTGACAAACCTCCACTGGATGACAAGGCTGTCAGAGGAAAGATCATTGACATTCATGTTGGATAATGTAGCTATATTGTATAATCATTGCTGAAAACTTGGAGCTATTCATCAGGAGAAAATGATTTGTCATGTTCTTACTCAATGTATTCCTTTTTGTTCTCGTTGGTGACCACCATGTCTGAGCCGCTGGGCTTCAGGTCGACCTGGTACGTCTGAGAAACAAAAAAACAAAGCAGGAAAAAATAAGGCCAGGACTCGCCGGAAACTAAACTAGATTACTTTACTTTACTAAAATTGGGGATTTGTAACGGATTCGTGCGTACCTGTCCAAAGTTGTCCTCGTCAATACAGAACCTGAGGTCCAGCTCAGTGGGATCATTCTCCAGGATCCACTTCAGAGAGTTGTAGTATTCACTGTCCTGCAGGGATGCAACGCAGGGCAGATTCAAATTACACACAAAGTATATTAAGTCATTCGTTGGGCTTTTATTTGTGAGACAGCACAGTTTTATTATCAGCTTTAATGGAGAACCCTTTCCCTTTTTGATCTTGTTAGTTGCTCAGTTATTGAAAAAACATTGCTGATTGCTAATATAAATAAAATAATTCCCCAAATCAAAAGCATATTCCTTAAATACATATTTCACAAAGTCTAATTTAGTGGCCCAGAATGGCAGCTTTCCCTAATAACTAATCAGTTAATAATCTGGTAGCAAAGAGATCTCACCACAGACTCCATGTCTTTAAGCGAGATCTGCTTTCCCAGCATCATCTTGTAGAAGGGTCGGATGAAAAAACCTACAGTAAGAAAGCAGAAAATAACACAGTGCTGTAACTTTGTGTGTGTAAAAAAATATAAACATCAATAAAAAATGTTGCCAAAGTGTTGAAAAAACCCATAATAACATAACAAAATATGTATTTAATACATTTTCTTTAAATATCAAAGACAGGATACAACATCAAACAGCTTACCGTCCAGAAGTTTTCCATGAAACACGGCCATTCCTGCCACACGCCCGATGAACTTGAAATAGGAGAGGTGGTCCTCGTTGCACAGGCCAGAGTTGGGATTGATTTGGAGAGTGTAGTTGTCTCTGCACAAAGGAAGAAAGTCAATTCCACCTGCACGCCACTCTTTCATTTAGAGTCATTTAGTGAAGCTGGAGTCATTATTTATCATTTTGACACTCAAAACAGCACATGGACTCTGCTGATCCTCCTGCAAAATCTGTTCTTCTATATTGTTGATCCATTACTGTTTGCGGCTGAGAGGAAATCTTCAGGTTGTTTTTTTATAGCAGATTATGTAAAACATGCCATATTTTTACCTCCTTACCATGGCAACAAAACCCTGCATGATTCACACAGACGCTGTTTCGTAAATCTGATTTTTAAAAACATTCAAATATTACATTAGATTGTTTTTGCTAAAACTGTTGTGTAACCTCAGAAGCATGGTTAAGGACAACATTTTGTAAGAGTCATCAAAGTGCTGTGATGAATAATCACGATGTGGTTTGATTTAAAAAGTTTGATGTTTTAATCAGTTTAAAGTAAACTGGCAATTACAGGAAGGGTTCATTTTTAAATGTCCTTTCATTTTCAAGAGCTTGATCTATATTTACCTTTAGTGACCTTTGCCCTACATGGCAAAAATGAGAATCAACAGAGTGATCATCTATTGACGACGGTCAATAGAAACGGAACAAAGCATACGTCAGGTTTGTTATCTTAATGCTCGCTGTATGTGGGAAGCATCTGTTCCAGGATGGCTTTTTGAATGAGAGGAAAAGTTAATCAGAGTTAAAGGAAACTTTTAACAAGTCTCATAGGGAAACAATACGGCAGCCCTGCCCCTTACTCCACGTTGTGGAAAAAGCAAACCAAGAATATGAGAGGAGAAGGATTTTTCCAAGGCTGCAAACATATAACAAGGTTCCTTTACTACGTCCTAAACCTAAACCTCTCTCCTCAGTTAGAGGCAGCTCTGGACATCAAAAGCAAGCACACACACAAACAAGCGGAGACTTACGTTGCAGAGTATTCGAACAGGCCGTAGTAAGGGTTGAACATCTCCTTCGATAAGAGGAAGAACCACTCTCTGGCCACGCCGCCGTAGTCCAGTCCTTTCTCCGACTCGAACTCGATCCACAGCCGTGCCTTCAGAACATCCGGCCTCTTCAGGGACATGATCCGACGGTACGACTCCTCAAAGATGTTGTTCCTGTGTAACTTCATCTCAAACCGGTTGGGGATGTCAGCCTGAATAGTTTACAAAGAACTCTTTAACTTTAATGCAAATAAAAACAATATTGTTTTAAATACAGGGGCGGGTTAAATTAGCGTGACCTTTGTACAAAGACATCAAAACTAATTTAGGCAATAAGGAAGTGGTGATTCTTTATTTCTTATATATCATTTTCATTTTCTACATTTTATATGCGAGTCCTTGAATGAAGCTTGAAGTTAAATGCTGAATTTCTTTTGTAACAGCGCAGAATGCCGAAAAAGTCCAGGGGGTTGATTATTTTCTTGACGCCTATTGAAGTAATTATTACATCAAAAAAATAAGACGCATCAGTTTCCTCTTTGAAAACGTCGGAGTGTTAACCCTGCTTTCTGACCTTAAACACACTCGCCCACAAGACTGAATGCTGTGTCAAAGCTAAAGTCAGCGCGAATTAATCTCAGCTCTGTCATGGTTACAGTTCACCCAAGATTCAATAAATAAATATTTAGGGAGAAAAAACAGGCAGTCGTTTTTAATTATGCGCCCCACCGACCGAGCGTTAATCACGGAAAAAACGGAGAAATGATTACAATGATTATTTAGCATACGGTAAAAATGTCAAACTCAGTCACACCGTGTCACAACAGTGTGAAGAAAGTATGTAATCAAAGCAGAATCAAAAGAGAAGAAAATTAGACTGCCTTCATGTGCAAAACGTCAGGAGGTTTCAACCAAATTCAGCTTTGTCATGAGAAAGTGCCCCCGCATGAACCCAGAGACCCAAAAAATGGCTTCTTACCGGTTTCTTCAACTTCTTCCTAAAGTAGTCGTATTTCTGCTTGAACTCTCTGGAGTAGGGAACAGCCTGCACAGACAAGAGACAACAGAACTGATCAAAGCCCTGTGAATGTTTCAACAATCAAGCTAATAAAGAGGCTTTTTGTTGAAACACCAAAACAACTAAATGGAGTGTGACTTGTGGAGGGGAGCTGGCAACATGGGAAACCGATGCTCCACAGAGTGACACGGAGGTGTTGGAGTGTTCAGTGACAACCGCAGCGACAAAAGTGATTTATCTTGATTATACAAAGACTCTGAAGATAGAGTGTGATAGATAGAACCGCAATGTTAAAGTGGAAGAGACCGTCTGAGGCAGAGAGAGGAAACTACTCACAGGTCCTGTGATAGCCGGACTCTGCAGACGAGGATCCTCCCACTGCGTGTTCTTTGTATCTGGGTGAAACAAAAACACAAATACGAAATGTGAGGGCAGAAATCAAGTCAATTGACCGAAGATAGATCAACAACACTTTAAATAATTGATTCGTTATTTAATTTATCAAGAAAAAACCTGAAACATTTTCAGGATTCAGCTTTTCAAATGCGAGAGTTTGCTGCTTTTCCCTGTTTTATATTATTGTAACTTGAATATCTTGACTGTTAGTCGGACAAAACAAGTTATTTGAAGGGGTCACATTTGACTTTTCACCATTTTGTCAAACCCTAAACAAGTAATCCAAGAAGTAATCAACAGATTAAGCAGCGATGAAAATGATTGTTAGCTGCAAGCAACTCTTATGACCAAAAATACACTGTTGCTCTACATCAAGCCATCATAAATCTTGATGCTTTGAAATCACTGTAAAAATCTGCTGCTGCACTGCAACCACTACACACTATAACAAAGGTTACTCAAGAGAAAGACGGATAAGTGACCAAATACAAGCGCGGAAGAGACAGTGGTCAGATGGAGTCGTCTTACTGTGGTCGATGTAGAAGGTGCGTCCGTCTGAGTGAACTCTTTCTTCCCATCCAGGCTAAAAAAAGAAAGAAGAAGAGTGAGAACAAGCACACAGTCGCCATTAGACTGCACTATCAAAACAGGTCATGCTCAAATAGTAATTTAAATCCATCAACTATGTTTTTCCTTTTCTTTTCTTTATGTTTGATTGAACTTGACCGACCGTCAAACGGTCCAAACACGGACTGCAAGTTCAATCACACACCACAAAAAGGAACTGAAAGGATTTTCTCGCCAATTTGAGTCGAGGCCCAAGACGTCAGCAAGACAGGGGTACGACCACAACATAAAAGGTTAATCACCACCACCAGCTCAAACCAGTACATCACCACTGACACGGTGACCACTCGGTACAGTATCACGGGCCCCATACACACACACACACACACACACACACACACACACACACACACACACACACACACACTCTTGTACGGCACCAGCACCAGCAGTCAGGCAATTAAAACAGTAGATTGAGAGCAAAGGGGTGGGGAAAGGGACCGAGTCTGACAGCGTGTCCAACAAGGTGCGCCTACAGTGTGTTGAGTTTCTACGTATGCTGCTACTGCGTGAGTGGAGAGGGCAGATTGAAAAGCTGATGACACATGCAGCATACAGACAGTTACTTCCTCTAACATACATGTGTAGCTCCTTTTGTTTCTCTCCCTCCCTCTGCCCTCCTTTATTCAACCCGGTTCCCCCTCCTTCAGGAATTCTTGCTCATTCTTCTTCTTAGCTCTCTAAAAAATGCCCGGTGCCTCGATCCACTTTCCCCGACTCGTCTATCTGTGCCTCAGACACTGATACAGGTGCAGGAAGGAGGGGGGGGGGGTAAAAAATGCTGATGAAAAAGGAAGGGAGAGGGGTATTCCATCCATGCCGGTCATGAGAGAGAAAGAGAAAAGATAGAACGAGAGAGAAAAGAAGAACAAAAAAAGAAAGCGCAAGGCTGTCTGCAGGCATTTGACCAGAATGGACCGGACCAGACAGGTAGGTAGGCAGGCAGAGGGAGGGAGGCACCAACCAACCTCCTCTGGTAGGTTCTGCCAAACAGACATGGCCAGGTGTAGAAGAAGTAGCATACATTAGATCCACCAGAACGGAGAGAAAAGAGAAAGAGGGCGAGAGAGAGAACACACACACGTGCACACAAGCCTGTGAGATGTACAAACCTATGAAGCTTTGATTATTCAACATCTACCTAAGGTAACGTTAGGCCCACTTGTTGGGGGTTCGTCTTTATTAAACACACACTAGCGCAGGTAGCAGTCTCCACCTCGTAATTATGGATTCTCACTCAGCCCCCAGACTCTGCTTTCTCATCCTCGCCAGTTACACTCTCCCACTGACACCCTCACCCTCTAACAGGACTAAAAAGGGAAATGTCTGTTACATTCTGATCAAGATGTGACATGTCTCGTCCTCTCCTTTAAATTTAATGGAGCATTGAGTTAAGATGAACTTTAGACAAAAACCACAACAAAAACATGAAAAGTCACCGATGTTCCAACAGGGTGAATAAATACCTTTTATCCCAGGGAACTAGTTACACAGTTACGGTAATCTAAAAATACTGATCTACAACACATAATAAGTATATAACGATGAGTTAATGAGTGAGTGAACAAAGCTCGAGCAATTATTGGGATCTGTGAGGATGTTGTGAGCCGGAGGTTAAATATGCAGCTGGTCTAATTGTGAGTGTCTACTTACAGGAAGAGGACCGAGTTCACCGGGCTCAATAGAGTTCTTGTTCCTCATATGGACCGGGTATTTCAACCTGGGATCCTCCTGGTTGTCCGAAGAGAGAGGGGAGGAAGGAAGAGACGCAAATGAGTTATTTTATCTATTTAGTCTTAGAAGTTGAATAAGGACTGAAGTAAGTGTCATGTCGACTTTCACACCACCAGATGTCACTATAAGATGCTGAAAGATAAACACTAACCACTGCCCTAGATTTACAAGATGTTTTGTGTGTATTTAATAACTAGAGCTGTGAAATAAATGTACAATAATAATTGTACAATTAATCATTTATAATTGTTTGTACACATTATTTTACACAACAGGTTTTAATGGTAAGAACTATGTAAATTGGTACCAGTTGTTGGGAAAATAGAGACAAAGGTGTAAGAAAGTAATTTCAGTTTGGTTGACTTTCAACTTCAAAGTTAATTTATTATTCATTCGTTATTGGAATCTTCATATACGCTGCATTGCCTGCTGACCTTGTACTTGAGTTTATGCGAGCAGTTCACTGGAACTGAAAACTATCTCTTTCATTCCGTCTAATTATCACCAAATAACACGGTCCATTCCCTGGGAACTTGGAAGGAAATTACGGCCCCTCTAAAATAAAGCTTTACCCTTCAGTCATTCAAATTTGACTGCAGCCTGTTACCACAGTGCTTTAGCTCACCCAGGTGGTGATTCTGCTGTTGTGGTCGATGAAGAAAGGCCGTCCATTGGGGGCTATCCTCATCTCCCAGCCCGGGGGCAGGAAGCTCTGCTGTGTCTTAGGTTGGGACTTGGGGGAGCTGTAGGGGGACAGCTGGGGGGACTGCGGGTTGGACAACGTGTCCTTCACAGCCCTCCGCACCTGGATGTTGTTGGCTCCCTGGAACCAAAATGAAAAAATTAGGCGAATTAAGCGAAATATTATGACATCCATTGTGACTGAAAAGGGGACGACAGACAGCATGAAACTAAATAGCACTGATCCTTTGAAAAACAACAGACAACAAAAAGGATGGAAACCAGTCTGCCTTAGTGTTCAGTTAGAAACTGAATAAGAATAAAAAAAACTATCATTTTTCCATTAACATGTATAGAGGGTGGGAGCAAATCAGCACCCACACTGCGTACTCTGTCGGCCTGTCAAGTTGTCAGTCTAAATGTCAAATCAAAAAAAATTCTACAGATCTCAGCCTTTTCTCCCCAGATGTTGCTTCTGAGGCTTCATGTTACAATAACAACATTTTTGTAGATTTTCTCACCTTTAGTTCCCCTGGAAAATAAAAAAGCACTGATGATCATTTACTAAAAACTCTTTGTGAATCTATTTCTGGTCAAAAATAGAGACCGTGGTCACATAATACCACTCATCCAGAGACCACGTATCAACAGAAGACATACCATCCCTAGCATCCGAAAACTTACTAAAGAAACTTTAAATCGACTCAAGCTGCTCAGGTTAATGAGTGTTCCCACTTCACATCATTCCTTTGACGGCGATTATCATCGACTCATCTGATTTTTAGCAAGGGAATCGACCGCATTAATTAATCCTCAGACCTCCCACCTCCAGAAAGTTGTAATAACAACTTCCTACATCGAGTGCTTCGCTTCCTTTTACCTCCACGAGGCCTTGTTAAAACGCAGACACACAACTTAATTAAACCTTCTTCAGGTCCGTTCCCCTGGTAGTAGCACAGAGTCAAAATATTAAATGCAGGTCAAAACAAGACAGTCTGTTTGTGTGGCCTATTTATAGCTACACTGCATACTTCAAGTTAAAATTCAATTAGCATAGTTGATAAATGTGCAATAAGTAATTAAACCAAAAGTTTCACACGTTTTCGAAATGTCAGCATGCTTTTAATAAGCTGCAATTGCATGTTCACCCACATAACAACACAACATTCCCAACAGAAACACGCATCAAAACACACAGTTATGATGAGAGCATGAAATACGATACGTCCAACCAAATCCAACTACAAACAGAGAGTTTTAGGACCAAGTTAGCTATTTATATAATGCCTTAAAAAACGTTGCCTGCTCAAGCCGAAACAAAAAGTGGCTCTACAGTTATTCCCTGTAGAGTCGTGTGGCTAACACATTAACCACCCATGCTGTCTGATTATTAAACCCTCTGACCAATAAGTAAGAAACTCAGCCTTGTCCTCTGGTGGGACAAGAGGAGGCAGACTCTGGTGTTCAAACATAGTCAAATCTGATGGACAATGTCTCCCAGTGTGCCGGGAAAATTGTTTTGTTGCAGCCGTTTACATTTCTCCTGATGTAAATTCAAAAAGAATGCACCACTGTTTTTGTTTTGTTTTGTCATTGTTGTGCAACTCTGTGTTGCATAATTACAATGAATTATCCTTGAATCATTTACTGGTCATTCCCACTTAGATTCTTTAAGATCAGTGATTATTTAGGGTAAGTTAACAAAGTTCCACTCTTTTACAAAACAACGCAAATATTTAACCCGCCCACTACATGAGGCTGAGCCAAACACCTCAAATGTAGAGCAGCTGCTCCACAGTAAAAAGCCCTCCACTGATGTCTGCTTGCTCCATTGCTTTCTTTCATTGATTAAAGGTGGCGTGAACACGTAGTTGTACACTGCAGCTCCGACAAAGCACAGCAAAATGAAAGCGGCAGCACTAAATGTCTGATGTCTCGGATTTAGCGAGTGTTGACTGTGGAAGTCCATATCTCAATAGATTGTAAAATGTGTAACCACTTGTGTTAAATAGGGATAGGTTTCTTAAATGCTCTTTTAAAAAAAAAAAAAGTATTCACAAAGGATGCCATGCTATAAAAAAGTGTTACTAAACTGGCCTCTGGATTTAGTTTCCATGATCAATATTATTGATTTGGATATCCCCAGTTTTGCTTTAGCAAATTACAACAATTACTTGGGACCTGTGATCAATTCAAATCATTTATTCATCCAGCAGTAACTGAATCTACCATCTTGGATTACCGTTACTGCTTTAAAACACACGGTGCTGCAGAATGAAATGCTGACTGCGTCAAGAGTGCATATTGTTCACGACAAACTCATCATCATGAATGACAAAGCTGCAGTAAAGCTCTGACCATTTCACGTGACTGTTCAGTGTTTAACGGAGATCTGTTTTAGCACTCTGTCATCGGCTCATTACCCATTGAAGATGACGGGGGGGAAAAAAGGAATGAAATGAAATCATCCTCAACGGAGAGATGAGAAGAAAAGATCAGTTAAATGATGTGATTAACATTTCCATGGGATCGTTAGGAGATGAAGAGAGAGAAAAGCAGCATGAAGACAGAATCAACCTGAAAGAAGGTGAGATGACAAAAGAAGGATTGATGGGTGAGGATGAGGTCATCTTTAAAGGGATGGAAATGAAGGATTGCGTGACTATGAAGTCTGGGTAAAGATTGGAGGGTCTTTGGGGTGTGAGAAGAGGAAAATGATATGGGGGAGCGGGACGGTACAGGGGACTCATTCTCACCTCCAGGGGGGTGGAAAGGGTGACAGTAGGGGAGCTGAGGCTACGAGCTCGTCGGACTTGGGGCTCATGGAGGTGGTTGTTGGAGGCATTGGAGGACGAGGAGGGGGTGGATGCGGGCGCCAGGGCAGAGGCTCCTCCTGATTCTGCTGCTGCTGCTGCTGCTGCTGTTGAGGTGCTGGCTCCGTCGTCAGTCAGCTGTCAGTGAGAATAGCACTTTTGAGGTTAAGTGGGGTAGGAATAAGGTACGCAACGCTGTATGCGAAATAACAAAACTTGTTCTGGTAATCCATGCTCTCAGAAGATGCTTTTCTCACAAGGAAATGAGAACACAAACAGTTGAAACAGTTAAAATATAACGATTAAGATTATGCATCTGAATAGAAAACGGGGACAAAGGCCTGGGATCAGTAACATAATGTACTGGAAAAATGAAAGTTAGTGTTACTTACAGCCCTAACCCAAAGCGGCTGGTACATACATTTACAATGAGCCACAACTATGTACAAAAAACAAAGCAATGCTACGATATTGGTACGTAAATCATTTGGTAGCATTATAACGAAAACAGATGAGTATCAGAGAATGAGAAGGCCACGTGATGAAAGACAACAGATGAACACGTAGAATATAACGCCGGTGTTCTGATAAAAGCAGAAATACAAAGGATGAAATTCAAAGAGGAGAGGCATTAAGCGTACACCCAGTCCCATGTAGCAGTCTCTCCCTGAACTCAGACCACATTTGCGGACAGAGAGACAGGGGGAAGACAAGTGGAAAAACAGGGTAGAAATAGGAAGAGGGAGGGAAAAGTGGTAGTTGCAGTTCCATGCCAGGGTTTGGAGAAGGAGGGACTAATACAGAGCTGCATCCAGAGAATCAAACAAAGTGCTAGACAAGAGGAGGAAGACATTCAATACGGCTGGACAGAGGAGGAAACCGGGCAGAGAGAAAGACAGAAAAAGGAGACTGAGGTTGCAAAGTCGCGTCTCTTTCGGTCAATCTTTATGGCTACACAGAGGAGAAACACGGAGGGGGGGGGGGGAATAGAGGAAGAGGTCCGACACACGGGTGGCCAAGGAAAGGTCCAGTCCCATGCATAGAGTCCAGCTCAGCCTTCAGCCCTGCTGTACCTGCACAATTGGCCTAGTCCACGTAGTGGTGCGGCTGTTATGGTTGACGAAATAAGTTCTTCCCTTGCCGTCCTTCCTCTCCTCCCATCCAGGGGGCAGGCCAGGGGTGGTCAAGGCGTAAGCAGTCGCCGAGGGAGACTGGCCGAGTGTAGGGAAAGAGCAAAGCAAAGACAACTAATCAGTACAGGCTGGTATGCGCAAGGACATGAGGAGGAAAAAGAAATATTAAAATCAAAGGTTATCTTTCTTTCTCCACATCTATTGAGGGCTTTAAAATCATTTCCCATTCCAGCTGCACAGTGACAGAAAGATTTCAGGAAGATCATGTGACAAAAGAAGATTTTTAAACTTTAAAACGGGAAAGGTTAGTGACTGCGTTTGACGTGAACCTTCACCTACAAAAAAACAACAATGAAACACAGTCGTATTAAACTAAACACCACATGGGGAAGGTAGTGGAACATTACTACTTTACGGAGTGAACTATTAACCATCTGTCGCATTAGGATTAAGTAATGGTGGCGGTGTCCAGAAATGCCTGCGCAAAGACGGCACCACTGAACATTGGACACCAGAGACGCCCCGAGCTGAACCGAGCATATTTAAATGGGTCGGTATCAGCTGATCAAAATGTTCCTTTCTTTCTTAGTGTGTGCACTCGAGTGACTCCGAGTTGAGACACTGAGGATCTGTCTACAAACCCAAGTGTCCAACAGAGTGATACGTCTCCTCTCGAGTGGACTGCGTCATGATGTCTCTAGTTAAGCTTTCACTCATATCATATCAATATGTTTTAACGGCAGCATTTGGAAGCAGCTCTTGAAAAGTAAGGTGTGTCACATAAAGAGGTTTACAGCTGTTGCATCAATGTCTCTGATACATATTTTATCAACATTTAAGTATTAGATCAGACTGTAATATTAAAAGACTTTGATCGGGGCCGAATAAAACTTTGATCCAAACATTACTATTGGACACATTATATAATGCTGCTTTATGGCTTGTTATCAGCGGTTGATCAGTGACATTACTTTATAGTGACTACCAGGAGACAACACACTTCCGCGCACACACACACACACACAAATGTTCCACTGTATTCAACATATACAGCAACTTTGGGACAACTGCTGATCTAAATTCAACATGTCATAACATCACCAGTAACAGAACTAAATAAAGACGGATTAATTTGGCTGTGGATGGCTTCATCAGCTGACTGTTTCCTGCCAGCAAGGATGAACATTTTAATGAACGTACACACAAAGTTCTTCATCTTCGCCGATGAGGTTGTGTTTTTCCGTTGGTTTGTTTGTTCGTCAGCAGGGTAATGGAAAAACTACGAGCCTGATTTCACGAAACGCCTTGGAGGAGGTCTGCGCTCTCCGAGTGCCCTTCTCGTTTTTTATGCATTATGTATCATGGAAATGTCTCGTATTATACGGAAAAAAAAAGTGTGATGCGATGCGTTCTTGGATAACAAATAACTGAAAATCATTATGTGGCCTTCTGCCCCAGTGCAAGATCGTATCAAAGTGCTTCACAGAACTAGTCAGGGGATACAAACAGCCCATCGTACGTGGTGTATGGGAACTACGAGTCATACGACTGATAGAGTTTAAACTGTTTATTAACTGAGATATTACCATAGACTCCTCACCACCTGAGACTGTTTGAGCTCTTGTTCTTCTGGTCTGGGAACCCTGCTGGTGGTAGACAACAGGGGAAGATGGTCTTTAGTTCACATTAGGTTAGGTTTTAAATGGAAATAATGGGGCAAGGTGTGTGGGGCAGTGGTGAAGGTCAAGTGAGGGGAAACTGAATGCACAAAGGGGGTGAATTAATTCTTAAAGGAGGCAAGGAGTGAGAGAAGAGATTCATCCACTGAAGCATACAAGCTGTGAGGTTGACAGTAGCAGGAAGGAGCACAATTCATTTGGAAATAACTGCAAGTTTTGATTGGTTAACGTGTTTACACAACATGTGAGTGAGGGGAACTTTTAGCAGTGTGCTTTCAGTAACTTTTGATATTAAGACAGACAAAGAAAAAGACATTGATTATATTCCCTGAACAATAAATATAATCCCCAGCATATAATGCAGCATCTTTCATCTCAACCCAAGTGGAAAATGATGTTTATGCTACAGAAACACCAGTCCTGCATGCTGAAAACCATAGAGCAGTGAAAGTGAATTACTGTGCTGAACTTCACAGAAAGTTCAGAAAAAGGAGTTTGAATTCTCAGACATGAACTGTAAGAAAATGATCAAATGCAGGAAAATAGAAAATAAATTGTTGTTTCATCTAAGCAATCCAAAAGTTAAGTAAGATGACAATATCAGTGTAGTTCATCCAGCAGACACTGGATGTGGTTTTGCTTATTGTAAGTCTTAAATAACCTGGAAGTCCTGATAACGTGATTTGCATTCACAGTTGCATCATCGTCAGCTCTATAACCAACTCTATAACAGTGAATTACCTTTTTACTACAGTGAAGAATGAACTTTACCCTTTAAGGTTAACTAACCTGTATTCACAAGTGGAGGCTACCTTTATCCAAGAGGCTGTACAAACAGCACCCATCCACCTACATACACATTTAATATCATTCGGAACTGTAGTTAACCTTCCCCAAGTCCTCGCACTAATACATGCTGATTATATTTCCCCTTTGATGGCTTCCTAATGAGCCTCTTGTTCTCCAGTCCTTAGAAACTTGTCATTTAAAGGAAAAGGGTGACATTATCACCTGATCTTTTCATTGGCTTGACAATAGCAAGCTCACTGCTGTGACTCAGCCGTGTGACAAACATCTGACTCGGATCTTGAGACAGTTTGTTCGAGCTGAATCCACACTGATGCCATGACTCAGGACTCTATTGGGGAACGTTTGATCTGACGTGGTGCTCTCCTTAATCTCCCTGGCCAGTGGTTTCTACTGGAATGGTCATACTGCTGGCGCACAGCTGTAAACGCCAACATTTCTACAACACATTAAATATAACGGCGAGTGAATCACAAAGAGCAGTAGAGGAAGAGGTGTGGTAATCCTACGGAGGCAAGAAGAAAAAAGAGGGAACAGTAAAATCAAAGAAGCATAGAGAGCAGGACGGAAAAGGTGAGGAGGAAGGAGGGCGAAGAGGACATTTCAAACGCAAGGAGGAGCAGAGAAGGTGATTTGATGTGCACTGAGACATGCCAAGGAAAGGGAGGAAGTCAAGGAAGCAAAAGAAGAAGATGTAGGTTATATGTACCATAAGAGGAGGAGGAGCCTGGGTCTGATCGCTGACACCGTCCGTCATACTTGAGGATCGGAGTCTGTTTGATAGCTGGCTCTGTTAAGAAATAAATAAGCGGTCACTCGAATATCTGAAACAAAAAGACCTGCCTACATTTACACCACTCAGCCATTTAAATGTGGAGTGATTGAGGTTGTGACTACTAGAAATTGCAGTCTCACCAGAGCAGAGCTGGGCCCTGGCACTTCGCCGTTGGTGTCGGCAGTGAGTGACAGCCTCAGATTTAAATCCTCAGAAAACTCCTGGCTGACGGGTGTTGGCGGTAGTTGTGGTGTCAAGGCGGAGGAAGGGCCGGGCTGGGACTGGGCCAGGCTGTCGTTAGGATCCTCTTCTGTGATGAGCTCCCAGGACTACGAGACGCAGTCGTGAAACAATAACAACATTCAGTGACCTTATCGCCTGAGACAGCTGTGGCTCAGTGTGCGTATGTATGTGTATGTGTGTGTGTGTGTGTGTGTATTCTGCGCGCTCACATTGTCCATGTCCCTCGGCTCCATGTGCTCGTTCTCTAGGTCTTCACTGATGTGGCGCCTCGAACGGAAAACACGGTGTGCTTCCTGATTGATCTGCCGCTGTTGATTGTCACTCTCAGTCTCTGAAATCACATCGCTGAAGGAGAAGAAGAAGAAGTTATTTCATACAGAAGAAAGTGAAAATGGCCGCTAAGAAATAAGTATGTCTGTACCGAATCTCTCTCTTTTTAAATTATATTCAAAGCTTCTATTGAGGATTTCAAATGAAGCTGTCGTCATCACCCTAATAAATATAACTTGTCAGTTTTTCCTCTTTGTGTGCGGCAAGCGGGACAGCAGTGAAAATGTTGTTTTTAAAAGGCTAAATGCCAACAAATGTGGTTTGAAGCAGAATGTTCTGTTCGATAAAAACATGTTGTGAAATGGAAACATCTATTTTAAAGCTGAGAACATAAGGAGAGCGATCAGGCGTACATGTTGGAGGGCCGTTTCCACTGTGTATTGCGTTTGTTGTGGTTGACATAGTAGGTGCGTCCCAGGTTGTCCACCTTCTCTTCCCAGCCAGGGGGCAAAGGAGGAAGCAGCTGCTGGGGCCGCTGGGAGCCCGAGTCCGCAGACTCATCCCAACCCTGAAAGAGAAAGTTCAGATTGTTTGACATGAGGCAGTGTGAGTAACTCTCTGGCAGCCCGAGGTCACGGATATCCCAGTGAGCTGACAGCTTGTCAGACACACATGAACATCCAATTCAAGAGGGGATTCAAGGATGGAAATACATTAAAGATGTCCGATTCACTTGTGACTGGTTAAAACTTGTTGCTGGGTTGCGGTTCTAAAATGTTTTTCTTAGCATTTACTGGTGTTTGTTTTTGTTTGACAAGCCGCCAGCTGGGTGGGATAACTCCGACCATAAGATCTTAGACTCAGCAAATGTGCATCAATATCAATATCACGACCAGTGTTGACAAATCTGAAGTAAAGAAGTAGATAAGAATCTAAGGAATGAAAATAAAAGATTTTTCACAGCAAGAGCCGGTAGTAAAAGGTGGTTAACAGAGTGGCATTCAAATTGTTATACTTTTGCTGCTAAATGGCAGCTTATTTTTTAAGCCTTTCACTGTCTGAAATGTGTAGCTCCTCTCCAGCCCTCTTTGATAATCCACACTTGAACACACAAGAGCACACATGAAGTAAAAGAGAAGCTCCTATTTCTCCAAATAACAGGCAGTAGTGTAAATGGGTTTTCCATACCCTGACCTGGAAAAGACTTTCACCAAATTCTGGCAGCAAGATGCTGCTCAAATTCTTAGAGAAAAGAATAAAAAGAGGAGTCTTCCTTTGTCCTCTAACTCTGAGTAAAAAAAACACACATTCCTATTGGTTCAAATTAGGACACTCACTTTCATCTTTAAGTGTGTTTTCTTTGTGTGGAAGGAAGAAATAAAACTAGATTCTGGTTTGGCTTCAGGTTGTTATGAACAAGACGGTCAAAAAAAAAAAAAAAAAAAAAAAAAAAGACCTTACCTCAGCCTCCTCCCTTATCTCCCCAGCCTCCTCCTCTGGTCCTCCTTGTTTGGGCAGATAAGCCATCTTCAGACGCAGGTAACCCTTCACCCTGGACTTGTGACTAGAAGGAGACCATCAGCAAAAACAGACTCGTGTCAAAACAGCACATCAAAAACCATGTGGCCTGCAAACCTCAGAGCCTCTAGTAGGATAACGCTTCGAAATGCAGGGGGGGGGGGGGGGGTTCCAAACTATTAGCACCAGATGGTCTTTCACACTCAGTGCTCAACTGACCGTCACATGAACTTACTGCACCGGTAGCACTGTTGCAAACCATGATTAAAGTAACTCAATGTCTAATTGCTAATGGGGGGGGGGGGGGGGGAATTAGATAATTCAACCGAAGAAGTTTACTGGTATATAAGCTACTGGGCTGGCTATTCCTAAATTACTGGTTCACTGTTTACTCGTCACATGCAGCAGAAACTGACCTTCTGGGCCGCAACAGGAAGTCTTTAAATGTGTACGGCCGCTCCATAGCAGGGTCCTCCGTCTGCAAATTAAAAAGGAGGCGTTTGTTGACAGTAATCAATCGACCGCACATGCAAATTACACATGTTGGACAAAATATCAAGTGTCATGAGTTTACAGCACGGCTGCAACCCTCTGCCCAGCCATCCCGGGATCATTATGCAACAGTGAGCTTCTCCTGTTACATGTTGAACAGCAGAAAGGTCTTTCGTAATCCCACTACTCTCTGACGGGGCCTAAACCAGTCCACACTGGCTGCTCACCACATACTGCTCTACGACGTACGATCTTCAACGCAAAAAAAATAATAAAAAAAGAGATGTGGTGAAGCTGTCTGTCACATCCTTAGACATTAAGGATTTATATCAAGTTTTGTAAATAATGCATCCACATAACTGTTAGAAAACATTGCTGTTAAAAGCCTGAAGCCACATCCACTCCGTTGTATGTGTTAATAGTGCAAAACAGGGCTAGGTACATGAACTGGCACTGTCATATGATGCATGAATAAGGTTTTAAGTAAGTTCAAGCTTCCATCAGGCAAATGCAGCTACCAGATTGCTTAAAATGAGTCAAGATGGCCGACCGGATTAATAAAAAGTGAAAGCGGAGATGCTGGTAAAGAAAAAAGGTGATGATTAAAGTTACAAAACACACATAAAACACAGATCCCACCATTGAAACGAGCAGTAGCAGCTTATTCATGCTCGGTTTATTTATTTAATGGCGAAATCCAAACCAAATAATCTCTATCCGGTCCACTGACTTCATCTCTCAAAATGACTCAGCTGAGGCTTTTATCTGCTGCTAATTTCCTGGACCTATGGGAGTCGAATAGGACATTAATAATTAACCCACACACCTTTTACTGATATGCTTTTAAGGTTCACAACTCAGACAGAACTTCAGAGAGCCTCAGCTGAGTACAAGGGGTGAGAATGATTTGCAGGTCTATTTGAGTTTCAGGTCCTGTTCACTTACATCAAACCTAAAACTGTAAAAACTCTGCACGCTATTGTTTTTCGAAAGGCCTTCATCTCACAGTGAGTGTGCAAATTTGACGAGTGTAGCTTTTTCCATTTGGTTCTGATGGTAGCCCGCCCTCAGGACAGCCACCTCTGTTTATATTCCAGAGACAGCCCGCTTTCCATTTGGAGGAGTCGGCTGTTTGATCAAAACAAGGCTGCTGCTTGTGTGAGGCTGGCACTTTCTCACACTCAAGACACACACACACTCTTTGCCTGACCTTCAGAGGTTAATCAGGCAGAGCCAAATTGAAGATAAGAAACAGCTGAGTATTTAGTCTGGTCACACACACACACACAGAGACAGATGCAAATAACTCACCGGCAAATGACTGAGAGGAACATCAACCTGTCCCAGGAAATCATCTCTAGTCTAGAGGGGGGAGAAAAACAAGAAGGTAACCTTCAGCAGCATAGTTTTAGGAGTAACAGCTTTTTGAGTGCGTCTGGGGAATACCAAAATTCCCAGCAGGGGAAGAGAGAGGAAAAAACACAATGTTGAGGCGAATTACCTAATGCACCACAAGGTCCAGCAGCACTTTGTGTTTATTTGAGTGAAAAGGAGGCAAAGATTTTCATTTCATGGACGGCCCCTTCCAGAAATAACCTCTAGCCTTTTTTTAATGAACACCTATAAGTGGTCTGAAAATCTCAGAGTGCAATTATATTTAAGCAATTTCTACCACAATGCAATATTTGCTCTAGTTTGTTGTGGCTTGTTAGGTCGACAAAATCGTCTCTACCAATCAGATTTCGACAGGTGTCCATTGCAGAAGGCTCAGTGTTAGGTTTTATTTATGGACGGGCCTTTGGTATCATTTCATAGGAGAAGAACCTGTGAACCCAGCGAGGAAAAACAACACCCACTGCCACCAGATTGAAGCCAAGTCAGTCAAGACAGAGGGAGAGAAGGATAGAGGCAACGACAGGGGGAGAACCGGGGAAGGTTTGCGTTTCAGATTCAAGTAGCCCGTTGATCTGTTCTGAGAGGAACAGGGGGAGATTGAGCTGCACAGCAGCAGCCCCCACGGGGAGCAATGATTACCTGTGTGAGATGGAAAATGCCATTCTTGGAAGTAGCCTGTGTGTGGGACACAACGGATTGAGACAACAGGCGTTAAACTAACAATGATGTTTGTGTGTAGACACTGGTTTGACAGGAAAGGCTGAGTTGAAACAATGCTCGTCACTTTAATTAGTCCAGCGTTTCTCTCTTTGACTTATTGGTCCACGGAATAAAATATCAACGCTGTGGCATCTGTAGAAGTCGCTTCACTGCTGCACAAAAGTAGTACAGTCATAAAAGTTCCAGTTGAACTTTTAAGTGTGGGGAACCCTGTATAGCAACTTGACTTGACAATGAAATATAATGAGATTTCTGGTCCCTTTTTAACTTTGAAAAAAATGTGCGTATGACAAAAAAAAGTTCTTAAATCTCATCAAATATAGTTCAGATCAGAAATTTGTAGTAAAAGAACAAGAAAAAGATAAGCTGGTGCGAGGTTAAACACAGATATCACACTGGTTTATTGTGATCATCAGAAGGAGAGGCTAAAGCAGTCTACCTGTGGGCTCCCACCACAGTTAACAGACCTGCAATTCAATGGTGAAAGGGTACAAATGAGTCACATTAATGTCACATAAACAGACATGTGTGAATGCATTTGTACTCTCTCTCAAACACAAACAAATCCACACTCTCTCTCAAACACAAACAAATCCACACTGAACTATTTCTTCTTGGAAAAGCCACAGCCACTACTGTTTAAGTTACAGTAGTGTCTGCTTTCATTTCCCAAAGCAACTACACAACTACTTTACTTCTTGCATAACCCCAAAGTAATTCAAAACAGCGGATCACGAGGTTCATCTGAACTTGGAGAGAGCAACAAAAAGCAACCTGGACCACAGCATGAGTCTGATAGTATTACACTCTTTCACATGCGTTGGACCTGCAACCTACAATGTGAATTGTTGTGCTTTATAAATAAAGTTTAGAATAACAATAAATGCTGCAGAGATTTTACTAACCAGCCAAGACTTTCGGCACTGATGAGTCACCGTGAGCATTTAACCCTTACCTGCAAATTACACTTATTAACTTGCTTGAGCCTATGAAACATGTGGTACTCTGGCTTGTAACCTATGAGTATCCCATGTACTCGTGGCTGTTTTTTGATTTTTAATCTGTCCATAACAATAACAAGCATTTTAAGCTGTGGGTACGTGTAAGCAGAGGGATATAATTGCAGAGTCATCAAAGGGTCACAGTTGAGCCTGCAGCTGCCTCCCAGGGCCAGGTTACACTCTGAGAGGGAGGGTGCTGCTGACGACCAACAGAAGGAGGGAGGAAGAGTGAAGGAGGCAGATGATGGATCGTAAAACGAGCTCAAAAAAAAGTTTGAGATTAAGACAGAAGCAGGTCAGGTTCATTCACCTCATCTCACTTACAGAGAGGTTTGGGGTTTTATAATCCCGTCTGTGAGATTTCTGCTGCCACCCCAGTACAACGGAGGGGAATGCAATTCCAATTGTGCCACAGCATTGAAGAATTAAATTAAAAATATTGAGGGGAGCGACATTAATTTCCAGAAACAATATCCCTGTAACTCTAAGAGAATCCGCAGAGCACATAGACATTTTTTACCTACAGTATGTAAACTAACAAAGATGACGGAGCCAGCGGAGGGTGTTAATATTTAGAGAAGATTGAAGCAGTGAATATATGAGAGAAAAAAAGAGACAAATTTGAGAAACAAAACTCAATTCGGTATGATGTTTTCTTCTGAATAGGCCCAATTCACAGCAATGTTTCTACAAAGTCTGGATGCTTATGATAATATAGTGATTCTGGGCTAAAATCAAGAGTATTTCCTTCTGGCTAAGTCTAATTTGATTCGGTCAGCCACAGCGGGCATAATGCATGGCAAGCAGCGGCTTCTATAATGTGATTAGGTTGATCCAATGATGTGCTTCATTGACGAAAACATTTTTTTTGTCCCTTTAATCTCAGAGAATTCGATTTTTTTTAAAGTAAATTGATACCTCTTTTTGCCCCAATATGCTGTCTTGGTATTGGACCTGATCAAATAAAACTAAAACTATCAGTATGCCTGGATAACACAAGAGCTAAGTGAGAGCAAAAGAAATTTGGGTGAACCAATCCTTTAGGACAGTAGTCTTAAGTAATCAGAATTGGCAATGCCAACTGTAGCCGTACTCAACTGGCATGAATATGTATGAATGAATGAATGAATGAATATATATATACATATA